GATGGACGAGTGACCTCTGGTGGCGATCGGACGGAAGTCCATGGACAGGATTCGTAACAGTGCCAATGCAACATTTTCATTTTCACTTAGACACATAAAAAAAAAAAAAACTACAAATGACAAAAACATGCAACAAGATGACTAAAACTACCTAAAATGAAAATGAAAACATAAAAATAAAAACAGATTCATCATAATATTAATAAAAACTATATTAGTATCTCAAAGATATTAAAATAACACTGCTTCAGATTCACGTTATGAAAAAATATTAAACAAAAAAATTGACCGATTTAATTAATAATAAAAGCACATATATATATATATATTATATATTTATAAACATAAACCCATGCTATGTAACACCTGACAGTCTAGTGCACTATACATACAGCAGCACACAACATCAGCTGGGCAAATGACAGATGATAAAGAATGATGCAGGTGTGTTTCTAACACAATCACTGAGCAGATCAGACTCACATCATAAGAATAAACTCAGAGGATGTTTAGTATTTAATTCAGATGACATCACTCACTCTGATGTGTTTGATCAGCATAATGTTTTCCATCCGACTCTCACATTCTGCTCGAGGTCTCAATCATCTTTATCGGATTTAATTAACGAAGCTGTTTTTAATTCGAGCAGCTCTTCTCTTCCACTTTATAACACACACATTCCTGGACACCGACTTCCGGCTTCCGTGACTGCGGGAGTCCACTTCAAAATAAAAGTCTTTTATTGACAAGTAAAGCGTAGATCTGAAAACAGCGTGCAAATATTCAGCCCTCGTTCACGGTGTAATTGCATTTGGAGGCGGAAAGTGAGATAAAATGCATAACTGAAAAGAAAAAAAAAACATCGAAGTGTCATATTCGGATCATTTATGAGAACGATTTTCAAGCATTTGATTCTCATTAGCGGCAGTGTTGCCAGGTCCGCGGTTTTCCCGCGGAATCGGGCTTCTTTTACACTGTTTCCGCGGGTTGAAACGACACCAATAACGTGATATTTAGCCCCTGGAATGCGAATTTTACCAGGGGATATTTATCAATTTATCCTAAAACGTGTATTTTGCTTGTGTTTTACCCCCCGGAACGCGATTTGACAAGTTTTGAGTAGCATTTGGGCTGGTTTTGTTGTGAAAACCTGGCAACCCTGAAGTTTAGCAGAGATATTCCTGCAGGCGATCCAGAAACACAGATGTATGTATGTATTTAGGAACACAAATTCCTTCATTCTCACTTGATTTCAGGATTATTTACAGTTATGTAATGTGTAGAACACATGAAACGAGACATGAGGCTATTCAGATTTCAGTTGCTCGGTATGTTTTGAATTTACGCTTGCATTTCGATACAAACGAACTGATCAGTCTAACCGAAACTCGATTCGAGCACATGAAATACAACCGCTCTAAATAATGTATTAATTGAGAAAATGTCCCATTTCAAGCCCGAGTTCTGTTCAACCACGTGTGCTTGTTTGTATTGAATGAGGCACGCTCGCGCTCTGGAGGCACACTTTTGCCGAATTAGTTTAAATGTTTATTTGTAGAAATCAGGTATTAAAAGGGAGTTGTGTATGTGTATGTGTAGGAGTGTGTGTGTGTGTGTACTGGTTTATATATCCTGGTGGGGACTTAAACCTGAATACACACAGACTCATGGGGACTCGTGTCACGGTGGGGACCTAAATTGTGGTCCCCACGGGTACAAAAGCTTATAAATCATACAGAATTAAGTTTTTTGAAAATCTAAAGTGTGTGTGTGTGTGTGTGTGTGTGTGTGTGTGTGTATGAGTGTGTGTGTATGAGTGTGTGTGTGTGTGTGTGTGTTTACATTGTGTTTTGCTGTAGTTCATTTCATTCCCAGTTTTCATGTTGATGTGATGCGCATTGATTCATTTGCTGATTCTAATGCACATCAGCAGGTTTAAGTTTTAATGTTGTACAGTTAAAGGACAATACAGCCTGGTTTTACCCCAAAGTACTTTAAAAAAATACCATGGTACAATCAGGCTTTTTGGACATTTTAAGTGCCTTTCTATTAGTGCATGCTCAAAATGCTGTCTAGCTAGGGCACTCAGTAGATTTTGAGATGCAGCCAGTGTTTGTTGAAACAGGAGGATCATCAGAGATTGATTTGGTTGGAGCAGATGGAGAGTCCGTACCGAAGCCGCATGAACCAGCATCGCTCCAGAGACACTGGAGGTGAGACTGTGACCTGTATGGAATATCAATTAAACCTGATCTAAATGCATTTAGAGCCCGACCGATATGGGTTTTTTGGGGCCGATACCGATATTAGGGAGTTAAAAAAAAGGCCGATATCGATATATCGGCAGATATTCTTTGTGTATATTATAGTACAGTACCAGTCAAAAGTTTGTCCTCTAGACGTACACTCGATTCGCGTTCGAGAGGGTTCCTCGAGCTGAAGGGATCCCCCGAATTTGGTGTCGATTCGCCGCGCCGTTACGGAGATATGGCCGTTAAAAGCTTCAATGGTTTTCCATAGACTTAAGCTTTAAAGAGTTTCATCCAGGTCGCCAGTAGCAAACAATGGAGCGCGCTCTGATGGACAAACTAAGTAATTACACCATTTCAAGCATTTTATCTGCGTTATATGTTCTGTAAAAAAAAATTCATATCGGCGGCATATTCGCCGATACCGATATATCGGCAACAGGCTCATATCGGCAAAACGATATATCGGTTGGGCTCTAATTTCCACATCAACCAATTTTGTGTTTTGATCAGTTCGTGGTGTGTCGGGTGGCCGGTCCGTAATGAAGAAAAAGAGCTCTCACAAGTGAGTACCAGTGTTATTTTAGTATTGTTTGTTTTATTTATTTATTTTTAATTAGGTTTTATTTTTATATTATTTTCAAATGTTTGGTCGTTTTTATTATTTTTTATATTTAATAACAAAAAACATTTATTAAAAAATATATATATCTTATAAAAAACAATGCTATTTATTTACATTTTATTTTATATATTATATTTTATATATTGTATA